ACACATATCGGCTGAGCTTTACCCTTTACAAAATTGAGGTGTTTGTTCCTTCAACTCACCTTCTGGTGGCTCCGAAGAGTGACAAGCGTTCGTAGTTCAGTGGCAAAAGACCTGGAGTTCCAACGTGATTCCCAGGCAATCAATGTCGAGTGGGGGCCAATCTCGAAGGAATTGTTTGGATCATGTGTTGTCCAACATTTCAACATACTGTATGTATAGCTGAGTTCTACTTTCTTTCGGTCTTCCTTTCTTCATCTTCTCAATCCACAAGCTTGCACTGCCATGAAGCCAGCACAAAGGTAGCAAACATAAATGTTCTCTTTATTCTTCCTTACAGACGACCCTATTGACTTCTCGCGGGCACAACTTCGAGGATGAAAATTTCCAAACGCCAATACCATAACCACTCCCAATTTCACTGTCAATCTCAAACGAATTCCACATTTCGAACCACCTTGAGCTTGAATTATGAATGTAACTACTAGTAAAGAAACAATAGTGGACATCCTCAGACCGCTACGACCTTGTGGGAAGACCTACATTGAGCATGGAGAAACATTATGGACATCTGAGACGTGCACTAAAATTTAAAAAATCAACACGATGTATTTACTGGATCTTAAGCTTTATATTTTAAAGATTCGCTTTGTGGAACACACGATGACAATTATAAACACTACTTCCAATAGGGGCTAGCCCCTGGTGTCGTTCGGTTTCATCCTCGTACGGTTTGATGTCATCTTCCCATGTTTTAATCCACTTGGCACTTCTTACTTCAGACACGGTTGGCATGCTTAGTCGAAACAAAGTAGTTACACATCCGTGCACTCGAATGCCGATTCAATGAATTTTTGAGCCTCATTTCACCGGGCAAAGCTTACACGACCTAACAGCTCAAGGACCCCATCAACCTCATGGTTTGACCTTGGAATTTATGCCTATGCTTAATTTTCCATCTCCCTGTGTATGTTAAAATTGAAAACCTCGATTTTATGCTGAACGGAGATAATGTAAACATAGTGGAGATAATTCACAACAGAATAATGTTGATGTGTTATGACTCAAAAGTGATCATTGGAAAAAAAATCTTCGTTCATTCAGATTTATTCATGAAATTCAAGTATTCTTCAAGTAGCTTTAAGGTTGGAATATGAAAAATCCAAGTCAAAGTCTCATTAGTAACGATATTCTGCACAGGCTAAGATTCAAATTCAATATCGGACGTGTACAATGCATCATGTTAACCGAATTATCTCCACGAATACCTATTTCCCTCTTGCCCACTATATTATTCAACATCACATCTACATGTCTACATCCTTGCACATCGATCTAACCGTATGCATATCCTGCATTTTTAAAACATTGCATCATATTGCACATGCCCCATTACAACCAATTTTAAATCATCAAAATATTCTTGTGAATGGAGGAAGACATCTGAATAACGATTATGCAAACATTTAGACACCAACAATGCTACCATATACATGCACAAAGAGCCCCTTGTAGAAATATGGCCAAAATCAAGCCCGATATCATCATCAACAATCTCCTACAAACAATTTGTTACACCCTCGGTACAAACACATGTCTTGCGTTGCCTTTATAGAGTTCGCGCAATTTAAAGAGAGACTTTACAGCAAGCCATGAAGACTAAAGAAAATAAAATAGACTGTCTATCCATCATGTGAGGGTAGAACTCTTCCACATTCATCGTACCCTTTCACCACCAAACGCCGTCTGAATGTCCCTTGAAACGGACCCAACGGTGTTAGCAAACTCGTAGCTTACTGCCCGATCTTATGTCAAGGTATAGGCACAACAAGTGGGGTAACTTACATCTCAAGAGATGTCCTGACGGAGGCTCATGGGCCGTCGCCATAACTTTGTAATAAGAAGTAAACGATATAATTCAGTAGATCTTGTTTGTTGATAATTACGATACAATGACTAATATATATTCCTTCATTCAGAAAAGATGGTCCTATTAAAGCGGCGAGCGCTCGTCATTTGTGTTTCTTAAGTAAAGCACGACAAGTCTAACCCCTATGACGAAATTAAGCTCACCAGATAATCTTCTTGCATATCAGCTACAGGCCAATCGTATAGAATATATTAAAAATGACAAAAGTTGCCAATTTCGTGGATCCGAACAGAGAACAGACTCTCGAATGACAGCAGAGCTCACAGGCTGAATCGAATTTCGGCAATCTATCCTCCCAACCTTCTGCTGATCTAAATATCGCCGAAAACGAATTCAAACTGGGCATGGATTTCCTCAAACAAACCACCATATCCCTCTCTCGATCATGTAACAAATTCCCATCTCCCATGGCAATGAAAGTAGACTTTTGCCCGCATGACTGTCGTCATTCTGCAGTACTGTTCTCCAAAGTTGGGGAAGCGCTGAAATGCTGACAGGACGGAAAAGTGGAAGCGGACCTACCTTTGACGTCCAGTGTCCCTTATCGGATAAGAGTATTCCATAGTTAGCAGTACCGACAATCAGGGCCCCGAAGTTACCATATGATTGTCCCGAGGCGGGACAATGGACGGGACTAAGGGGACTGGAAGCTGTACTGTACGCGGGATGAGAGGGCGTACCATTTACAGTACGAGGAATCACGAAATCCACGAAGTTTGCGGAATCTGCTGCGAATGCGAGATGCTGCGATCGGACGATAGAGATGGCTGTTTGAGAAAGCGTGCCGTATTATGATTACGGGCCGCCTCAAAATTTATGAGTAGAAGTTGTCCGACGTCCTGCTCTCGATTATCCATTCGGAAATTCCATTTCTGGGTAACAGTGCTTAGCCACTTGATTATTCATAAATAATCCAGAATTAGCATTGAACAGGGCTCGATTGCCGGGCAACGGTCGGAGCGTCCGGCTGACTGCCTCCCCACTCTCTGCCGGCAAGATCCCGACCCCGTCTGCCATGCGCGTGGTGGGTAAGAAGGTGAATTCCGGCCTCAGATTAATCGAATCAGAGTTTGAGAATTCACTCTTCGGAAAAGTTGTTGCCTAAAAAATATCATGGGGTCCAAATCTCGGTACACTCTCCAATGTCTCAGTCGAGCACTAATACAGTTCAAAAATCAGAATCATCAACGCTCTAATGGGTATGGGAATGAGAATGAAATGATTTATACTGCCGCAAAACATCCTTCATTCATGTTTGCTCGAATTTAGGAATTATGAATGGGAATCTTTCTTGACGAACTCGAATCTGGACTTATTGATTTTTAACGAATTTCTTCTCGTCGAAATAGTGAAAGGTGAACATGTTTAATTAGTTTTCTGATGGGGAGGGCAAGCGAAAGTAAAGATTTCGAAAAATTGGAATCATGGTGAGAACATCTGCGGACGCAGAGAGGACATGCATGTGAAGATCCCAGTCCTTCCGAGATTCCTTGATCTAAGCTGACAGGAGCGCGAAGTCAATCTCACAGCGAACCCATCTCTGCAAGTGAAACTCGCATCCATGACCCTCCGCAGGCTGTTCACTTGAGTTGTCCATGATACGCTTCGGGGTGACTCGAACGACATGATGACAGTTGTATCAGGGAAGTTGCAATAAATTCCAAAGTGCTTTGGTGCCCTGCTGTGACCGGAAGCAAACTTCGTGGTTGCAAAGATCTTCGCTGTCGTTGAACTGATTGTGACAACGTCAGGCTGGTGTCTCAAGAGAGTGACACAATAAAATAACAAAAAGGACCGTCGAGTAGTGTACGCGGATGATGCCACTGGGCAACATGGGCCGAAGCCCCAGTGTATATATACCTGAAGCCTTGTGGGGGGCCAGCAATGATGTTTAGATTCTTGAATCCCGTGTTGCGTTTATATTCGGTCTGATGCAAGTCGGAATTGTGATAAATCCCCGAGGAGCGAAATTGAGTTTGTCTTATTTTTTGCACATTGTCTTGATTCAGTAATAAAAAATTGTTCAGATGAGGGCAAATCTTCCAAAAGTCAAGTATGCTTTGAACTGTGTAATCGAGCAGGGTACTAGTTGTATTTTTGGTGTGATCACGAGCTGGTCTTTCTGACAGTGCATGCATTCTCTTGAGCAACAATTGAAGAGAGGGAATGTACCCGACGAAGTGGAATGCTGTTTCGTCGGGATTCAATATTGGTCATACATTTGAGTCAAATTGACCAGTCTAAAGATGTGATGCTATTGGGGCCTAGCCCCATGTTCATCGTACGGCTGGCGTAATGGGGTCTTATCATCGACTCTACATTTTTGCTATATTGCTCGGTACTTCGGCTTTGCGCCATCATTTTCTCCTCCTCGTGATCGAGATCGAGATCGGGCCAAGGAGGCTCTAGCGTTGGGGTTGGGTCTATGCGAAGGTCAGAAGTTGCGGTTCACAAGCTTAATTCATGATTCTGCTTGATGAATTTTACCCTTGTAGGCGTCATGTAAATTGTACCAAATGAAAGGTGCGAGGAACAGAAGAAAGCAATCCAGAAAATAGATTTTAGACAAGTATTGGAGCATGCGATATCAGAAGTTACCAGCCGGGAAAATAGAAGGCAAGGAGGGATTCCGTGCAAGATAAGCCTGGGGAGAGGGCGAGACCTGACAGGGCAAGCTAGCGGAGCTGAACTGGCCGCTTTTGCGGCATCCCGCTGCCTCGGGCTCGGGCCTTGGCTGGCGGAATGTATCCGTTTGGACAAGTCTGACATCGCAGCGATTTTACCTTTTCACTCGGCAGCCTTTTACGGAAAGAGTCGCAAGCGAAGGGAAGGGAAGGCAAGGCAAGGCAAGGCAAAGGAAGGGAAGCGGGCGCTCTCCTCGAGATCTGCTCACTCATCGGTGCAGCCTGCGCTGCGCCTGCCCTCCTGCTGCTGCCGCTGCGGCCTACGGTACAGCCTGCACTCGCAGCGCTCGCAGAGTCGCTGCCTGCCTGCCTGCCTGCCTGGTCCCTGGTCCCTGGTCCCGCTGCAGACAAACCAGACACCAGCCAAGGCACAAGGCGCTAGAGCTGGGGCCTGCTGGGCCTGCTGGTCCTGCTGCTAAGGGACTACGCTACTGGAGCGCGCTGCACGACAGACATAAGCCGGAGAGACGGGACGGGCACGAGCGACGAGCGCAGAGATGGGCCGAGAGTGCTAGGGGGTCATAGTGCGTTGGGAGACGGGACGGCGAGCGAGCGAGCGAGGGAGGGAGGGAGGAAGGGAGGGAGGAGCAGACGACGAAGGCCGCGAGGAAGGAGCGAATGGGAAGGATGGCGACGCCCGACGACAATGCCCGGCGCCCGGCCGCGAGAAAGGCCGGACGAGTGAAGGCGGTGCAGCAGGGGGAGGGCGGGCACGCCGCAGGAGAGCGAGCCGATACGCATCGGCAGACAAGGTCTGTAGAAAAGTGGTGCTGAATGCGGGAGCTGGCTCTTATTCGCCGCAGCTCTAGCCTCCTCTCCTCTCCTCTCCTCTCCTGCTGCTGCTGCAGCTGCTGCCGAGTAAAGCCCTGTAGCTTTTCTCTCCCTCTCTCTCGTGGTGCCTTGGCAGCGAGTGGTTGCACCAAGATCACGCAAAGTCATTTGACGTCGACTCCGGGAATGCAACAGCAGTTGTCGTCGTCGTAGTAGTAGCTCGACTCCTCCATGCTCAAGAAGAGAGAGAGAGAGAGAGAGAGAGAGAGAGGAGGAGGAGGTGAAATTCGGGCAGTCCGTGGACGAGGTCATAGAGGGGGCGCATTTAACCTCTTGTGCTGCTGGTCGCAGCCGAGAACTGGTCGTGGCCCGCCCGCGTCGTTCGTCTTTCTCGAGCACCTGACAATGGTGGGGGAGAATTCGATTGGAGCAGCGGGCGAAGGCGCCGATGAGTCGGTGGTGCTTTAGTGCGCCGTCCATCGTTCCGCTTTACGGTCGATGCCAACTTCTGGTGCTGAGTGAGGCTGGACAGTTGTGGTGTCGACTTCTGATTTCGACAATGCGGGCTTTGAGATAGCGGCCTGGCTGCTGGCTCGTCTTACGTGGTCCGAAGAGGAAGGAACCCCGTGCGCACACAGGTGTCGAAGGAGGATTGCGCGCGTGCCTTCGTCTTTCGCACCCGCTCGTGGATTGAACGCGATGGTTCTTGGTGGGGGCAGTGTTGTGGATGTGGGGGTTGGAGGTTCCGGAGACGGCCATGTCGGAGGTCGTTTGCCCATCTTAGAAGAGCATGACCGATCCTAGGAACCTCGAAGCTCGGCTCCATGGCAGCAGCTCGCATTGTTCAAGAATGCAGTATCTCGGGCACGAGTTGAATACAGCTCTCGCGGGGCTCGAGCTCACCGGATTCACTGAGTCGACCACGTGCTTGAATCTGCTCTGCACGTCAGCCTCTTCTTTTCTTCCTTGCTGTCGAAACAGCGCGCAGTTTTTTTCTCATCGGAGGAGTCTAGACATTGTGAGTCGCCCATGACAATGGCATTGTCGCCATCCACTGGCACTTGTTCGGATTATTCTCAAAATGACGCTGTTCTCGGAAGCACACCGAAGGTCCAAGGCTCGGTAGCCGATACCTACGAAACGTACGAGGACTTTCTGGAGTCCGCCGTGATGAAATGCAACAGCGGCAACGGAATGATGGTTATGAATCTCGCCTACTCCTCCGACGCGGACTTCGCCCGGAAAGATGATGGCAGTCACGCCAGCAGCTCGAGCATGGGCCAAGCTCTCATGAACAACATCAGCGCCTGGTCAGTTTCTCTCCGGGCTACCGTCACGGGGTTCATTTGCCTCGAGCACAATGCCATGGGAAATGAAACGTCGCTTTGTTTCTTTGTCCAAATTATGCCAATTGCCCGACCACGCCATGCGCCAGTTGAATCACTCGCCGTGCATGCTCAGGACTAATCACAGCGTGGGTGTCTTTTCCTCTCTTCAGGTGCGAGTTGACTGGGCTCCCGACAACCATCACGGTGCACATTTGGGATCGGAGCTTTCACCTGCACAAGGTGAGTAGGCCATCTGGTGCACTCCCGGCTGCCTGTCTGTCTGGTCTTCTCCGGTACAACAGTCCTCCATTGCACCTTTCCCCCCGTCTGGTTCATGGTAGTCGGTACCATGACAGGCTGATAAAATCCATCCGTCTTTCATCCTCGTCACGGAGACGAGGATTTCTTGGCCTCGAAAGCGCTGGGAGTCTGATACGACTGGCTCTGGTCTGTCGTACCGACCCCGGTACGACGACATAGATTATGATTTCTGCATGTGCTTCAGATTGCGCGCCAGCGAATTTGCGGGAGCTGATGGGATGGTGGGGTGGATTTTAACATTACGTGTCGTCTGTGGTGGCTGCAGTTCCCTCTGATAACTCGCAGCGGGTACATGAAGCGCATGCTAATGGATTCCAAGGAGGTGAAGATCCCGCACGATTGTCCCGGCGGGCCCGATACGTTCGAGATTGTGGCGAATTTCTGTTACGGCTCGACCATTCAGATGGACTCGTCCAACGTTGCGGAATTGCGCTGCGCCGGAGAGTACCTGCAGATGACCGAGGAGTACGTCAAGGGCAACCTGTGCGAGAGAAGCGACTTGTATCTGAGCCAAGTCGTGCTGCAAAGCTGGCAGGATAGCATGCTCGTACTGCTGCACTGCCAGAATCTGCAGCCGTATGCCGAGGATCTGCGGATAGTGAGCCGCTGTGTGGACGCTCTGGCCTTCATGGCGTGCATGGAGATGGTTGACCCGCTCGAGCGCACGGCGAGGCCCGGAATGTCAATTGAGAGCCAGTTCTGGAGCGACATCAGCGCCAGCACGCGAGATTCGTCGTCCCCCGACTGGTGGATGGAGGACCTTTTGCGCCTCCCCTGCGGCGTCTTCGAGCGCGTCATTGCCGCAATTCGCCGGCAGGGAATGCAGGAGAAGTATGTGAGCCAAGCCATCGTGAAATTCGTCGACCGATGGGTGTTCACCAGCTTAGCGTCCGATGCCGAGACCACCGTCGTCGTCCCGGAGGAGCATGTGAAGCCGAGCGCAGTCTGTCTCCCGCCCTCGTGCAATCAGTATAATCTCGTGGAAGCCGTCGTGAGGCTGCTCCCTGCGGAGAAGGACGCTGTGCCGATCAGCTTCCTGTTCTCGTTACTGCGATGCGCCCTGGCCTGCGGCTCGAGTGCCGAGTGCAAGAATCAGCTGGAGGCCAGAATTTCGTCGCAGCTCGAGCTGGCCACCATCACGGATTTCCTGTACCCGTTCAAGATCGCGGAGGACAGCTGCATTTCCGCAGCCGAGGTGAGCTGTATGAGGCGAATCGTCACATCGTTCATGGCGCAGCAGAGGGCTTTGAGCGACTGCACCGACGGCCTGCCCAACATTTCAGCTGACGAAACCCCCGAGAACGCCTACTGCGTCTACGCCGTCTCAGCCGTCGCCAAGGTGTGGGACGAGTACTTGGCCGAGGTGGCCCGCGATCTGAGCCTCTCTCCCTCCAAGTTCTTGGAACTCGCGGAGGTCATTCCCTCCTATGCCCGTGCCACTCACGATCATCTCTACCGGGCCATTCACGTCTACTTGAAGGTGAGTCACGGAAAACCATCCATTTCTTGCAAGCGATGTTCTAATGTAGCATTTCTCATGATTCTGTCCCGAGCTTCGCATCCAGATCTTGAGCACTGAGCACATCTTGCTATTTCTCATTTCGTTCTGTCCCCTGTCTTCGAGATTCTCTTCGGGAGATCGTGCGACTTGAGCCCTTGAGGCTTGTCGGTGTCTTTGGTCGAATCTAATGTCTATCAACTCTCGAATGTTGTTCTGACTGGGATTTCTGTCGTGCCCAGGTGCACCCGCAATTCTCTCAAGAGGAGAGGCAAATGGTGTGCAGAATATTGAACTGTCAAAAATTGTCACAAGAAATGTGCACACACGCTGTCCAGAACGAGCTCATGCCATTGAGAATGATAGTCCAAGCGATGTTCATGCAGCAATTGCAAACTCGCAACGTACTCAGCGCTAACTTGCAGTGCACCGGCGGGTCCATGCGGCTGGACAATCTACCGCCGCTCTCGAGCGGAGCCTCGTTCCGCAAGAACAGTCTGGCGTATCACATACAGTCCGAGTCGTTCAGGTCCACGCGGGAGTCGTTCCAGTCGAGGGGAGACGATTCGTTCAGGATCGACGAGAACGAGCTGGCGGACGGAGTGGTGTCTCTGGGCTACATTCTGAAAAGAGATGCTGCTTTTCGACAAGCGGCTCTTCTCAAGGCCGACTACGAGGCGACGGAAACGAGGTTGCAAAGCTTGGAGGAGGAGCTGGCCTTCATGAAGCGGAAGATGGACGGCACTCCCGTGCACGTCAAATGCGGGTCCGAGAGACTGAGCCGAGGCACCTACAATCTAACAGGAGGCGACACGCGATCGAGAAAAGCTAGCGGCGCAATACCGCAGAGTCAGGTCCTCACCGCAGTGCCGGAGGCCAGCACCAACTCTGACGAAGATGAAGCTCCGGCCTCCCAGATCAAGCTCTCTGCCAGGGCTGGGGTGGGCTTCCTGGCGCGAGCTCTTCGAGTGTTCGCTCTGACGGGATTCCGTAGGAGGCGAGGCGATGGCGACGCTGGATACTCAGAGTACTCAAATCACGTCATGTGCTCGGGGAGAAACCTGTGGCCCAACGAGGACAACATTAAACCGAGGGTCCGGGCTCCGAGCGACCGTAGAGCGACCGCTGCTGTCGTCGACTCGAGCTGCGGGCCGACAGCGAGCGCATCTAAGCATAGGCACTCGAGACGTCACTCGCTGTCCTGAGGACGTGCCGAGAGAATCCTGCTATCCGAGCGTGTACTCTGCGCGGCTGAGATCCCCATCGGACGAGAGCAACATGAGGGAGGGTGAGCGAGAGTCAGAGAACTTAATGTGGAGGCCGAACGTGAGGTCACTCCACAGATGCTGTTGCTGCCGCTGCGGTTCTCTTTCCCTGCATTTCAGAGAACGGCCCAATTCTCGTGTTTGTTACTCGATCGAGCCTGTAGATACCGTCATCTGAAGCTGAAAAGATTCCAGGTCCTCAGGAGGAGGGCCACTCAAGGAGATGACCGAATCTGAAGCACTGGAGGGATGCCTGTTCTCGGTGGTCTTGATTTAGCTTATGGGCTCCTTAATCTTCTAATCTAATCCAATCTAATCTAATCTAACTTGTCTCGATGGTAAACTAACGTACGTAAATTATAAAAGTAGATTTCTCTGTACATTTCTGACAGATTTTTGAAACATGAAATTCAGTCCCATGGAGAAAACGGCATAAGATTTTTGAGTAAACCTAGGAGATGGTTAGTTACCTAGCTACTAGTAGAGGGCGAACTCGAGTCTGTACATTTGCTAGTTACATACGTTCCCAAGTCTGAGTGTAGTAGAGGCCCCAGGCAACACATGATGACATTGCATTCCAAGATGAAAGTAAATGATTTCGTCTTCACAAGCTCGTCTTCTGCATTCTTCACTGCCTGGGTTTGAACCTTCACGAAAGTCTTCATATGGAGAAATGGAATTACTCTCTTTCAGATCTGGTTGGAGCCATTCTTTTTTGTCTTTAGGGTCACAAAGACCACATCTGTTTGAAGTACGAATTGCACTTCGCCAAGTCTCAGATGTCAACTTCACACACTCGGAGAGGCCTTTCTCTCTCGATAAGCGTGTTCAGGTTGTTATCCTGTCAGGGAACTGAATGGGTTCGTCCTTTGGTTCCGTTTTCTCCACCGTTGTCTATGTTCAGCAGCGGTTGGCTAGCTAAGCTAGCTCAGCACTCTCGTCTCCCGATGTAAGAGTTTGCTTCTTGTGTGCTTGTCTCGACTAATTGAACCATGAGCTGTACGTTCCATGAATGATTACAGCATATCGGTGATCAAACAGGAGAGAGGGCTGTCTGTCAGATTTATTCATCTGCCCCGTCCGTCTTCATGAGGGAGGCTCCCTTCCTCCAGTCTGCGCTTGCCTCTCTTTCCTAGCGGTTTCTCTTGGTTCGAGTGGTCTGTCCACTGGCCGGACTTCAGAGTAAATTTTAGACCCCAAATCTGTCCACTACACGAAGACGGGTCTGCCTGATTTCAGAGTAGAGCTCCGGTATACCAAAGAATCCTGATAATTATAGCCTTTCTACCATGTTAAGCGCAAATCATTGATGGCAGGAATATGCGTATTCTCCTTCTACTCTCACCTCCCATGGTTCTTATCCCTTGTCTAGAAAAAATGCTCTGCGTCTTGTGTGCCGCAAATCATTTGTCTAAATCAGAACTCCACTTCGAAATTCAAAACATTGACCCACCAGTCCAACAAACAAATTCGTGAAGCTACATCATATTACACAATCTGTTTGTTAATTAAATGTATTTTGTCTCATGTGGACTGCCGAAGTCATGTTCAACCTGAAGCTGGAAGTGTATACATTTCTCCAAAGCTGCCACCATCAAGGTTAGAAGAGGGTAACTCGTTTGAACGAAACCCTGCGTAATTCCGGCATGTGATCATTCAGTTGCCTTGCTGCAGAGCCGCGTGTGATTGAGATCACCTGATCGCCCTTCCCGACATAGCTGTAGTTTTAGCAGACTTGCACTACCCTGGACTACATCTTTTTTCAAAAGGATCTGGCCAATCCCAACTGGATGCAAACAAGCAAAGAAGTGTTTGTTTACCAATTAAAAAAAGTCTTGCTCACTAGGTTATCATTTGATGGCTAGACTACGAGGTATAACCCATTGAACAAGAAGTGGTTTTCGAGAGAGGCAAGGCTTATCTTAACAATTATCTATTTTCACACGGGTGTGTTTGTACCCGAGTGTGGTACCGTTGTACTTAATGAGGAGCATTTATACTTCTATATACATAACGTATCGAGTTGATAATATTATTTTCTTGTCGAATTTCTAAGTAGTTATTTAAAATTCCTACTTCATACTTGTCCAGTTTCTGGTCGTGAATTTGAGTCACAACGGACCAAAACTTCCTAGCTTTTCAAAGAGGTATAGCTTTTAGCCTTGACTTTTATGTCATGGAATGGCATCAGCTTGTGACCAGTCCCAGTCTGCTTCCTCCCATGTACACTAGTCAGAATGATAGTATTTACGGTTATTATAAATTGTTCTCTGATCTTGAGTATGAAATATGACAGAATGCGTATGGTGAAGATAATTATGACGTTATAGAATGATGAGATGAATCTGTAGAAGGAAAAGATTGGAAGGCTCACAAAATATGGGAGGTTGATGCATCAACCTCCCATAAAAAACCGCGAAGTCCGATGGAGATCACCACATGTCCAAACTACATGTACTCAAACTGCTGGCATGAAATATGTTAGGATGTAGTGGTTCTAAAACCGCAGGTGTATTTTATGTTTGCTCTTCTCATAAATATGTCAACTTAGTCGCTCCACCATTCCTCACTTCCATGGAATCGAGGACTGAATTTAGTGTTGAATATCTTCAAGTGGTTCATGCTATCGCATTCGAAGAAAGCTAAATAGTTTCATACATTCATTCGTTGCTGACTTTACTTTTCTTCCGCTGGTTAACAATCAATTCCGAGCAGAGTCAAGCTACCTCCAAGTACGAAAAGAAGCTTGCAATTTTCTTAAAGTAATAGAGTATTGACATGAAAAGACAAATGCCGGGCAAAATGTGTGATGGATAAATGAACTGTTCGGTAAGCGTTTCTCACTGTTTCGGTAAAGGAAAAAACATTTGTGAAGCCAAATCCAAAGCAAACGAGAATTATGCCTTGGTGATTTAGCAGTGTCGGCCTCATCCTAGGTTGTAGAAACACATTCCATGGGTATTCCGTCCCTCATGAGTCACAGCTTCTTAGTTGGAGAGCTAAGGGCCTCGTTACGGGTCGAATCATCCGAGCAGCTCACTCACGTTGAAGCACTGCATCGAATGCCCTGCTCCGCTCGCTCTGCGTTATGTGCAGCGGGTAGCGAGTGGGTATGGGCACGGAGTAACATTGCAATAAGGATGAGTAAGACCTCATCAAAGGGTACATGGAGCTGTTTTTTAAGATGGCAGTGTTTACTATCATGTCCTTGTATCATATGTTGACTTAGAAGACTATGATTATCGAATATACATGTATATTAATAAAGTAACAACGAAGAAATATCTTGTACCTAATACTACGAGTTCGATAATATTACCTCCCTATATCACATGGAGAAAATATCGAAGGGCCCACCTCTATCTGGATTCGATGCTCAATTTAGAAAAGAATCAGATGTCTAAATCCTGTCCTGGCACGCGCTAATCATCCTTATACTCGATGTCAACATTGACTTGTCAACGATGTCTCGCCGAGACAACGTTGACAACGGCAACGGAAAGTTGTTAACTTCCTCCGTCCTAGCACGCATGCACTCCCATCGTCCTAACCAATGAACAATTGCTACAAGGGGAGGTCATGGTGCCTGCTTGTCCGTGCATAACCACCGACATCGCTCTCGAACAAACTTCGGTTTGCTTTGCATGTTGTTCCAACATGTCTTGACCATACGACGCTCAGCCTTCTTCAGAGCATACACGTTCTCCTCGCTGACCCTCCATATGGCTTCCAGTCATAAACTGCAGTCCCCAATAAGATAGGATTCCCCGTATGCCAGGGAGTGATGTAACAAGCTGAGTGTGAAATTCTTCAACAGTAACTGCACATAATTGGAGGCCGTGAACTGGATAACAACTTGGGTAGAAAGTGCCAACTCGGAGAATAACATGAGAATGCCCGAAGGTGTATTTAAGGTGTTTCGGTGACAGAAGGATGCGGTGGGGTGTTGTTATTGACGAGTGATGTGAGGAATGTTAGAGTCCGGGAACTTTAGTACTTGCATGGGTATCATCAATTTATATCGTCGGACGCGGTTGGACGCTTTCAAGGCTGCATATGCTCACCATGGCTCGCTCAATAATTGCAATCGAACTGAAGGTTGTTGTTCCATTACGTCAAGTTGTGCAGCGCCATCCCTCTCCTCTTCTATCCACTTGGAGCCTGAACGAGTCTTGCGGGCTATATGTTGATGTTTATTTATGCTGTAAGACAGCCAGCCCAGTCCAGCTTTGCATAGCTCTCCGTCTCTCGGTCCAAGAGCTTATGAGCCACTTTTGCAGGTGGTTGGTGACATTGCCTCCCTTCATCTTTTGAGACCTTCAGCATAATCCAAAGTATACCTGTCATCGTGACTCGATAATGAACTCACCCACCGATGACCTCGGTGTAATATAATCATCTTGAGCCAAAAGGAAGAATCGGTGATCTGGGAAGCGTTTGAAATGGCTGGGCCACTGCATTGGCCAGCTAGTATCGAAGGCTGAAGAAAGCGCTCTTATAAACTCATTAATTTCCGCATACATCAGCGATTCATTTTGACCAGCTTCGATCTTATCAGCTTGCCAATTGATAGTAGGTCGTAGCCTATCAAGTTCTCTTCACAAATCAGCGAAGAAGAGCAAGTACAATTAGGGGCCTTGTGCTGCTGCTAGTACTCAACCATGACCTTCCCCCAAAAGTTCGGTCTCGTCAGTCTTGGATCGTCAGCAAGCACTTGGTCAGTACGGGAATGGTATTCTACTCCTAGCAGGCCTTCGACAATATCTAGAGGTCATTTGATTCTACACGACCAGCGTCTACTGATCTTATCACGTAGAATTTGTGCAAAAAACGAACATAGGTATTGAAAATGACTCCGGTACACATGGATCAAGTCAAACTTCATCATTGTCTTTGGAAGCAAACATCGGGTTCAATTTGATTTTTAATATCAAAGGATTGACCTTAAAAATTGATATGTATCAATGTTTGGGAGAAAATATAATATATAAATTTTTATAAATTTATTAGTATGTATTTAATGGTTTAAAACTTTTGGTACATTTTTATTGTATCAAAAGTTCATCATTCAGTATATAGTCTTAAGAAAAATAAAAAATCATTTACTATATAAAATTTTCATCGATATAACAATTAATCACACAAGATTAATTCTATTTACATTAATTCAAAATTTATGATTGTTTTGCAAAAGAACTACCATGTAATCTATCGTTAATATATAGAAAAAATTTGATTGCAACATACATAAGTTTATAAGTTTTTTCTAATGTTGAGCATAGATATGTCATTTGAGAACTTGAAACTTCTAGAAGTTCAACTTGACAGTAGATCAGATTAATTACATATTAACATGTAGTCAAAGATTTTCACTAGAAATGTAAAATTCCATAAAAAATTAGTCATATTGATTTCCAACTTCTTGAATTTATTTCAATGATCTCTCCAAGTAAAAATTTAATACATAGATATAAAAATAATTTTGATCATAAATCATGAGTATAATAATCATGTTTGACTCTTAAGTTAATTTTACAACAATGTAATCATACAACTATGAATCTTACATGTACATAGTCAATAATAAAAAATAACGGGATAATA